ATTTTTTTATTAAATGCAAATTTTTATTAATAGAAATTTTCACATAGATAAAAACTCAGAAATAATAATGAATAATTTACTGAAAATTTAAATAATATGTACCATTTTAATTTTTTCTTAGTCTTCATCTGAATCATCAGAATTAGAGATATTAGATCCTTTAATAGTTTTAGATTTTGGGACATGTGATAGCCATGGTTTTTTACTATCTTCTGGCGAAAAGTTAGAGTCACATGTAATTGCACCAGAAAGTGAAATTCTATATTCTAATGTTTCAGTTGAAAAATCATCACAATTTCCTAGATCAGTAAATCCCACAAGAAAATCAATAGTTTTACCATTGACAATAAAAACAACTGTGGGGATAATTTTAATCCTGAAGCGTTCAAATTTTCAATTTAAATTAATATAAAAAATTTTTAGATTTAAGAAATAAAATACAAGTTGTAAACTTACCAGTTAAAAATGGACATTGCATTACATTTAATTTACAAAACTTTGCTTCTACATGCTTCTTTGCAAGAATTTTGAAGTGGTGATCTAATATTTTGCATCTTGGGGAATCATCTTTATAAAATAAACACACAACATTTTTAGACTTTTTTGATATTTCAAACAATTCTTTTTCCTCAGGTAACTCGGAATACTCTCCATGACCCTAAATTATACATACATTCTATATGTATAGTTATACTTAAAAATATTGAATTAAATTTTAAATAACAGTAAACCATAAAAGTGATGATCAAATATTATTTGTTTTTGCTGTTGAAGTAATTTTAACTTCTTAAGACGTTGTTCACGTAATTGTTCAAAATCATTGACTTCCAAATTTTCCAACTTTTCTATTTCAGCATCCAATTTTTCTTCAACGCAACGTGTTGCTTCTATTATTTTTTGTTGCAAAGCAGCCTCCATCTCTATTTAAAATTAAAATTCCAGGAAGTTTATAGGTTATACTATACAAATCGAAAGTGAAATTTTACATTCTAATGTGAGAAAAAGATGAATAACTATAATTAGGATTAATTGCTTTTACTTCATATTTAAATACATTAATATCTTATAACGTATAAATAATTGATACTACTACATTATGTAGTATTGTAATTTGCAATAAATAAATTTTGTATCAATAAAGCTATATTTACTAGTTGGATTTTGGTTTGACCGAATAAGGAGCCCTCTTACGTTGCTGTCAAACTTCGACAGAGAGAAATATGTCGTACAATTTACGAGAAAGAAAACGTGTTCATCTTTGTTTTACTTATAATTAATTCGATTGCGATATCAAATGAAAAGTACAAATTTGGTAAAACGTAATTTATAATTTTAAATCACTTTTTATGAAAATGATAAACAGTTGATCGCAAAAATATTCGAACACCAGTATAATTTCAAATATTGTGCTCTGTATTTTATGATAAAATATACAATAAACAAAAAAAGTGTATTATGCTACGTTGCGTTACAGTTTCTAGTTAACAAAAATATAAAAACTGTTTATTTAGTATATATAGTTGTTTAAACAATAAGAAAGAAACGAAGTAACAGCTAATTTTAAGATCACAAAAAGGAAGTATATTTCTCGAGTTTCCAATTCCCAGAAAGTCAACAGAATAATATTTATAAATACAATGCTCAGACCATGTACAGTTATATCATACGTCAGTCTTACTTAAAATTCATACGAAATGGGTTGTATATAATACATGTTGTAAATACGCATATTTTAAAGTAATGTGTATATTATATAGTTGTATAAAGGTGAAATTGCAAAAGGCATAGAGGTGTAATAGAAGTATCTCATTCTCATAAACAGTAACTTAAATTAACTTTTATGTAGGTTTATTCAAATTTTAAATCGGATATGTAAAGAAATATGTAACTCGCGAACTCGAAATTTAAATTTTTTGACGAAGTTACAGCCGTTCGGACGGCGCGGATCATGCCGCTCTACAAGCATCATTACAAAACTTTAAACGCATCTTTTTCAAAACAGCATTTTTTAAGAGGGTGGGTATACCTGCCTCACCGTTCATCCGATGAACTTCATTTTTCACACACATATTCTAAATAAGATTTGTTATCGACTCATATAGGCTTTTTTAAATAAACTGAAACATCTTTGAATAACAAAAGAAAATGTACGGTTTTTTAAATGAAAATTACGACTCTTTTTCAAATTTTTGCCATTGCTATAATTTTTCTCTTCTGAAAAACCTTCTCATGAGCAGAAAACTACGATCCCAAAAAATGTTAAAAGATGGAAATTTTTGTTTTTTGAGTGATTATTCGTACGAACTGAATCATGTCCACTGTTTGGGGCGACGCAAAAAAAAAAAACGTCTACGTCATTGCATGGAGACGTCATATTTCTAATAACTTTCAATTTTTTATTCTTGTTTTCTACTCTATAAACATGCACTTTTATAATACAAGAAAAAAATAAATCAATTGCCTTGATAGCTTCTTCTCCAATCACACGCAAAAACATTGACCACTTTTTAGTGCCGGAAAACGTATATACCCCTTAAGGAAGGTGGATTTACAAAACAATCGCCAAGTGTAAACACTATGGCTGGTTTCCATAAGTTGCAAAGCGTGAATGTCACAGTATTATATTTGTGCATGTGCAATTAGTATAGCAGTGTAAACGCTCTTTTAAACAGATTTTTGCATTTCATTTAATTTGAAGATTTATAGAGAACATC